GGGTTGCATCAGGAATGGTATTCAACATAAAAGCCTAGCATGCAAGTCAAGGCTGACAGGCTGAGGGAATCCCTAATGGGAAAAGTCAGAATGCAACAGCAAAGTGTGGTGATTTAAATAAAACATAAACAAAAACATTAGGCATATGCCTATTTTTCAGCGTACAATTTGCCAAAATCTCATTGGGCCTAAGCACAACAGCTGTCTTCCCACCCTTATGGGTGGCTGAGTAAGCAGCCTCTCACTCCACCTCCAACTCAGACCTCCCTTATTGTTGTAGTTATGCCTCTCTTTAGGTCAATAACTTTTCCAACCATAGCAATCGCTAAGTTTGCTGAGCAGAATGAAACTTTCTGTGGAGGTGTGCAGTGTAATTAATTTGTTACAGGGTCAGAACCTGAACAACAAGGACTTTAAAGAAATGTATACATCAATCCTTTGACTGGACATTTCTTTTTGGTGTTTATATTACTATATTTGAAGAGGGAAAAATAAATAAAGTGCATATCTCTTCAACCTCATTCCATTAACGCATGTTACTAACTGGACTTTTCCCCCTTTCCTGTAGTCGTGCGCTTTTTCGTCCCTCTCCGCTCTCCTATCACCTCCTGAAGATGTTCCTGGCTCTGGAGCTGTGGAGTCTGCATCTGTCGTTGGGAGTATCCTCCTATCACTGCCTGCAGGTGTTCCTAGAGGTGTGGAAGCTGGATCTGTGATTGGGAGTCTCCTGCTGTCCATGTGTCCCACAATTACAACCACTGTTCACAGTCTTGTTGCTATTATTACTGCTATCATTATCATTACTATCAATATTTTTTTCATTTTTCATCCAGTATACGTGTTACTGTGTAGGCTACCTCCCTCCACTCCCTCTGTTCTTCTCTCCCTCTCTCTCTCTTGCCCTCTTTGTCTCCATCGGCCGAGGCAGATGGCCGCCCACCCTGAGCCATGGTTCTGCTTGAGGTTTCTGCCTGTTAAAAGGAAGTTTTTCCTTGCCTGTGTCGCCTAGTGCTTGCTCTTGGTGGGAATTGTTGGGCTTCTGTAAATTACTTCAGAGTAGTGGCTGACCTGCTCTATTTGGAAAGCACTGTGAGATAACTGTTGTGATTTGGTGCTATGTAAATAAAACTGAATTGAATCGAATTGAATTGCATTTATAAGTCAAATGTTTACATCCAATACAAAAATAAGCTCCCAGGCTGAGATTTATTTTGATCAACATCTAGATGATTTAGAATAAATTGAATACCAGACACGAACTGCAGAAAAAATCTAATGCCAAAGTCCATATTGACAGTGTCTGTGGTTTTTTTATCTTTCTTTTTGGAAATAAATAATATGCTGATTTTAGCCTTCAAACTATTGTGTATCCTAACACATATTAAATTGCATCCTTGCAGTGAAGCTCACAGCCAAATACTGTTATTTGCACTGCAAGGCCAGCACTGTGACTGCTTTCAGAGGGGCTGTATTGCAGGAAGCAGTATTAAATGGAAAATGTAGATTGTGGCAAACAACACTGGTGTATAGGCCCCAAAGAATGAAGACTTTTTTTTTCATTTCTCATGACCGTGTTGGAGGGTTTTATGTCAGTGGGGTATATGCTGAATTTTATCATTTTGTATGAATGGATTCACAAAGAGATTGTAAACCTTGAAAGTGGGATTTCCTACTCTGAAATAGAAATTCTTTCAATGCCTCCAAGGTTTTGGTTTTAGAACTTGGAACCCAATTTAGCACAACAGAGTGAAGTCCCTGTGGCCTGTTCTACCATTGCTTTCACCTTCATTTTTTTCATCTGAATGCTTTCTAAGTGAAATTAGCTACAATCAATGTGTCACTGAAACCCTGCTGAAAACTGACAACCACATCATCCAGATGCAAAAAGAAGACGTAGGAAGTAGCAGGCTTCCTTCCCAACAGATAAAAACTAAATCTTGAATTATTATTATTATTATTATTATCCTATCTCCTGTCCTTTAAACTGGCTCAGAATATTTAACCACCTCTCCCTCATGAGTTGTCTGTTTATATAAATCACATGAAAAGCAAATCTTAATGCACAATTTCCAAGCAGTGGGCCATCCTATAATGCATTTATCCTCTGCAAATAGCAATGACACGCTAACTCTGGGGAGAGGTGTCAGCTGAAATGTTATGAATAACTTGATCAAATTACACAGTTAGAGCAAGGGTATAAAGCCAGACACCATGCCTGGAACTAGAGGAAACTGTTAGAAAATGCCACAGGTTATTCAGAGGTGCACATATCTCTATGGATCCACCATCTGCTGAGACACAAAAAGAGAAAACGTCCCAAAGTACTTCACTTTCAGCTAGGTCCGAGAGATTGGTGTAGTTGCCCCAGAAAACCAACTATGGCACCTATTCAGCCAGGGTTCCATCAGGGTTGAGTAGGACTGACATCAGACTGCGAGGCACTGATTAGCCTGGGAGTGATGTGATTAGATAGCGACTCAGTCAGGGAAACCCCGCCCATTTTAAGGCCGGAGCAACAATGAACGTGCAACATCATTATTTCTGTGATCATAAATACACTGTGATCACGGTATACATGAACCAACACCGTGGTCCAACACGAAGGTTTAGCCAGTTTATAGTTGCTGCAATGTCCTTGATTGTTGTCTCATCCTTGTGTCGGCCGTAATTTGTAATGGTAAACCCCCTAAACTGCGTATGGCTGAGTAGTTACTAATGGAAAACGCCATTAGATGTGTGAGTTTCATTGTATGGAATGTTGTGCGCTCCCAGTTATATACTAAACCAATCGACTTAAGGGATGGTGACTTGGGGCCTTCATGTAGGATGTGTCTACAGAAGCACAATGAGGTAGTTCAACACGCAAAGATTCTTTCATTTTTACAATTTAAACACCTGCTTAATTCAATTCTGTTACAAAGAGTGTGAGGCAGGGTGCACCCCAGACCAGGGGTGCCCAAAGTTGGTCCTTGAGGGCTGCTATTCTGAACGTTTTAGAAGTGTGCCCCTTAAAGCAGGGAATAATAATAATTATATTTAAATATATTTGGCAAATAATAATTGGCCAAATATAAAGATTAGTTTTCCATTACTGTCAGAATAGCATGGACGTAAACCAGTTGTGGCAGTTTAAAACCAAGAAGTTGGACTTTCTGCAACTTAGAATGACTTTACTTAAAGGTGATTTTAAAAATGAGTCTGGGGAAACCACTGCCTTTTAAGAGAGATTTTACTTTTTCATTGATAAGAGTCATCTGATGGCCTGGTTAAAAGGAAGCTTAATCTTTTACAGAAAGACAGTTGGTTTAACAAAGTCTGAAATCTGATAACATTTCCCTCCCGTCTTATCTAAAATGCTCTGTACCAAGTCAGAATGCTTCAGCATAACAGTTGTCTTACACTTATTTTTCTCGTCACACTAATGAAAGCCAATATGTTTTCTTCCTACGCCAAATGTCAAGCTGTGTCTGAATTATTCCCGTCAACTGCAAAATCAGTTGGCTTTGGCCTGAATGATTTGCACAGCTGTGATTTTGCATGCAGATTGATAGAGAAATTAGCCACCTGATATGTCTGACCTACAACAAAGGAATCTAGGGTAGGTAGCTCATGTTATCATCCTTTGACATGCCGGAAAATCATGCATAGATTGTGAGGGGAATACATTAAACTTTTCAGAGTGGTTAAAATGACTCAGGACTCAACAAAAAGAAAAACAAAATTACTCACTGTAGACAATTTGAAAGCGGGATTTTTGTTCAGAGTAGAAAAAATGTGAGGGGTGAGTCGTTCCAGAAGGGTGATCACTGCGTTCAGTTTTTAGAGATAACTTTAACATGAACTTGCTCAACAGGAGTTTTACTGCATAACAGAAGAACTTGGTTGATTTGAGTAGTTAACTCTGTTAATTCTGTGTTATTTTTATTATATTTATGGCATTAAAAGATTACTTTTAAACGTTATTTTTCTTTCAAAATAAAAACTGCAAGAATGCAAGAATAAAAAAATGTAGTCAGACCTCATAACCCACCCTTGTGAGGCTGATTTTAAAGGTTTTACTCTATATGTGTCATTCTATTAAAAAAGGGCTTTCACATTTTGGTACTCTTAGTTAAAAGCAATGCAAGCTGCTAACCTTGTGCCCTTTTCACAAAGATAAAACTAAAAAAACTAAGAGGAACTGTGCTCACTGTTTTTAACAGACAGTAGACCTCTTGAAGAAACAATAATAGGAATATAAAAGAACAATATATAGCTGATCTGAATAACATGAACTCATTAGTGTCTAATCTGATCTTCCATCATAATATGCTCAGATCCTTATTGGTCAAGAGCTAAAAAGTATAATAAATACACATTATTAATGATGATATGTAAATTCAGATTTAAAGAAAGTCAAGTGTCTTAAATTTTCAGCCACTTTCTACCTCAAACTCCACTATCCAAAAAAAAGGTAGTTGCATGAAGGTGCAATATTCATAATCAACTTTTTTACACAGGCTCTGTTTTTTTCATAATTCTTCTCTGGCATTAGCTCCAGCAACTGATAAAAAATCTGTCTTTACCTCCGTGTTTGTGATAGATTATTGGGTCCCAACATGAATACGGTCAAAACCCCCAAATGGAAATCCTTGGTTCAATTCAACCAGTATTGTGACATAATTGAAGCATTATGAAAAAAAAAACCTGGGGGTAATAAAATTGCCTTAATTAGCATATTCTGAGTGCACAGCTGATCATGGCTTTTTGACCTTTCATATATCTTATAGTGAGGTATATATGTGTACATTTTTGCTAAAGAGTTAAGGTGAATGGAGGCACATAAAGAGTTTGCCTTAACCATTGTAAAAGACTGTCACTCTTACTGTGTCCTGCTCCTCATTGTTATTCATGAACTGTCTCAACATGTGTGGGGATACTTTATTGCTACTCTGCCATTCTGAGGGAAATGACTCTGTGATGAGGCGCTGTAGCCTGTAGTCAAGTTCAAAGAGTAATTTGCCTGACTGTTATTTCAGTGGAGTGCAATGGCTTCTCATCACGGCCCTTTTCCTTTCCAATAATGCCAGGATGGTAAGCTGTGTCGCTGCAGGGCATGAGCAATGTTACTCACTCAATTGTGTTAAGGCAACTGTTTAACACAAGATTACACACCCAAAGAACAAAGTTCAGGCCAACACAAATAAGCCAACTGTCATCGAAATGGATGGGACTAAGAGAGAGTCAGTCTGCAAATTCCTAAAAAGCTCAGTGTTTTTTCTATAAACTACAGGAAAGGAGTTTTCTGAGGGTAAAACTTATTTCATGCATAACCGCAACAGACCATAGAAGTAGATCAACACCGCAATGAAATTGGTGTTCCAATATCAGTCAAAAAGCTGAAATAACTAGAATAAGGGTAGTGGCAGCACAACCTGTCAGGTTTGGACTTCGAGGCAGGATTCAGGCGCAGAGAGGTGGTACAAAAGGTTTTATTGAACCAAAAACGCACTCAAAAGGAGTGGATGACAAGACAAAGTTCAACCAAGGCAGACAAAACTATGAGCAAAGTATCAAATAATAATCACTCTAATGAGGAAGGACAAAAAGGCTATGACAGGATATGACCAGACAACCATGGAAACAGGACAAAACACCAAAAATTCCCCCAGACGTGACACAACCAATTCACTCATGGGTGAACTGTGAAGATTTCTGCGACAGAACTTCCCCAGAGCTGAAACCAATCACAATTTATTTTTATTTTGTTTTAATCTGCAGCCCCAAGCTTAGTAAATGAAAGGAAAAGTTGTTTGTATTTCTAGAAATTAGGTTTTCCAATTATTCCTTGATCTTTCTTTTTAATATCCTAGGCATAAATCATGGATAAAGATTGGAAGGTCTTTCTCAGGATGTTTTGTTCAATTCCAACCAATGTATTTTTAGGCCTTTTTTTAACTATACTGACAGAATCAAAATAAAATAAGACATCAGACATACCAGTCCCTACCTAAAACCCTTTGTATCCATGCACTTGAACTTCTCTAATGAAAATAATACTATACTCAGTAAACAATCTTCAATTGAACTAAAAAATAACATGCTTTGGTCTTCTTAAAGTTCAACAAGACAAATTCATTAAGAATATTTAACATTTTCTTTTTAAGACATGTTAAGGATGCCCTAATTTTCTCTAATGTTCCTAATTGTTCCTCTCTAATGTTCCCTAATGTTAGATAACATTGGATTACTTTTGTTGACTGCTCTGGTTTAGTCCCTCTAAAATTTACATAGTGATGAACCTTTGGAAAACCATCTGATGTTATAAAAGGTGGGTTTGCTAAAACGGAAGAACTGAAGAGTTATATCTGATTTATGTTTGTCCAACCATCAAACAGCTTAACATCTGTACAACGTTATCCTATTACATTCACAAATACCAGAATACAACCAAAGAAAGGTGCTTAAAGAGTTTTAAAAATTGTTGCCTTTTTTTGTTTTCAAAACATTTAAACATTATTTTCATAATGTAATATTAGACTATCTTGTGGAAATGGACTTTGAAAAATACTGTTTTGTCTCAGTCTCACTTTGGGAAAACCACAGACAAATACTACAGTAATATTCCATGATTGTTGGGTTGTGAGAATCCATTACACTGCATGTTTTATGAGCAAACAATTGACCTGCGGTCTTTGTTATGCTGCAGGAGAAACTAGGAGCATAAATTAATGTTTATTTCCTAACATTATTTCCTAACATCACAAACATCGCATCATCCTGGGCATAAAAAATGTTAAAAGGAGTTAGAGAGCGATGATGGAATAACAGTGACATGGTAAGTTCCAAGAAGATGGAGGAGCAAAAGGGAAAGCATGTCTGTGAAATCTCATGATTGCACCTCAGGTTTTAATCAATTGGAACTGCAGAGCTAAATAAACACTGCATTGTGTTTACTGACCCAAAGTTGCACATTCAAGATAAATAAACACAGATAACACACGTATACACACTATTTGATTGATGTAAGCTTTTTAATGCATTTTATCTGCACCCTTCACTTTTTATCTATCTAATTTAATTTTCTTTCATTGTTTTTCTACTTTAAAATTATTTGTAAGGCACTTTGAATTGTCATGTACACTACATGTGCTATACAAATAAACTTGCATTGGCATGCCTTAAGTAAGATCATTTCTGACTCATAGCATTTCGCCATTATTGCCGCAGTCTCTTCTCTAAAATAATGAGAAGCTTTAAAGGTGTGTGAAATGACAAACTAGCTAGACTATGAGCAAAAGCCCACACATATGCAAAAACATGTCTCACCTCACGGCCACAAGCGGTCTTATTCATTTGTGAACACAAAGCCCAGTCACTCTTTATTTGTTAGTGCTGAGCTGAGAGAGTTGACCCTCTCGAGCAGCTAGGTGCTGCCTGTGTAATATTGTCTGACAGGGTCCAAATGGACTCCCATACAGTTCAGAGAAGGTCATTTACACCATTTAGATCTACTGATTAGATGAATAATAAATTATCAACTGCCCTGATGATGGGAGCTGGAAGAGAAAAAGCATCGATTGAGACAGGAAGCCTCACCATTGGTTACGTAATAAAACTATACAGGTGCTCTTGAAATGCACACTGAGGGACTCTTGCCAGCTGTAACATTTTCCTAAAATCCTCAAGAGTGAAGGTAATTTCATTACCCAGCATCCAAACTCTACATGCTTGACTAGTAGACGAGAGAAAGGAAATCAATAGACACCATTACCATGGTTTTCTGCTGGGGTGCAATTGATATACGTTGTGTATGTGTTGCAGTGCTCTGCAGTGTAAAGTAAACCTAATTTACTGTTGACTAATGAAGATTTAAGAACCTACTGTTTTTCAGAGCTGCCGTCAAAGATGGATTACATCCTTGCGTCATGGAAGAGTCCTTGATGTAGTCTAAAGGTGTCATTTTACATTTCACATTTTGCCTCATCCTCTTTCTCCAATCAAGAGAAATGAGCCAGAGCGTGACCCCATGATCGTGCAGGATGACAGGATGGAGGAGGACATGGAGGAAGGGCTTATCAGGGAGGAAGCAGAGGAGTCACTCAGGTCAGTGGAGTGAATGGTGTCACAACATCCAGAATCCTTCATCTGTTCTCAAACCTGCTTTGTAATTAAGATAAATAGCTAAAAATGACCCAAAGGCCTGTTTAACTCTCGAACGACTACAAATGAACATCCACACAAAACATCCAGTTAAGAAAGCTTTAGATCAAAATTCTGTGAGTAATCAACAGACTTTTATCCCCAGGATTTATCACACATTACAGTTGAATACCAACCATCCTATAATGTACTCACTGTGGTATGTACTCTTTGCTGTTCAATTACTGGCCTCTGAGCTGTACTGTAAGTCTGAGGTCTACAGGTCTGAGGTGTACAGGGTAAAGACGAACAATGAGAGTCTCTTGTTGACCTGCTGAAAAAATTCACAATGACAACCCTTCGGTCTCACAAATCATGATCTGTTTATCAGGTAGTCATTGATCCAGACTAGCAAAGGTATCCACCTCCATAACTATAATCAGATTTTCTTGCTCCCAATAAAACAACATTTTTGCACAAGTCACAGTGTTTTTGTATGTCTCTGTCGCCATCTTCATTGTATTGCGTTACCCAACATTCAAGATCTTTATTTGTCAAAATGCAAAAATACATTGTATAAGGCGCGGTGAACTGTATTGTGCACCTTTTACACACCAAACTAATAATAATAGTACAATTAAAAGAACCAAATCAGGTCAACATCTGGGTACTTAACGCACTGTAGTCTTTCGACCTTGGTCCCACTGATCCTGAGTGGGTGGTACACCCTCTGCTTCTTTTTGCTGATGTCCACAATTAGCTTCTTGGTATTGCTGATGTTTATGATGAGGCTTCCACCAAGGTGGATGATCTCCATCAAGTAATCCTTCTCGTTGTCGTTAAAGATCAGACACTGACTGTTGGAGGCAGTGCTGTGTCGTCAGCATACATAATGATGATATTGGGTGGTCACTAGTGTAGAGCAAATACAACAGAGGGCTCAACACACAGCCCTGGAGGGCAGTGATGTTCAGGGTTCATGAGGAGAGACGATTTCCCACTTGAAACACCTGGGATCTTCTTTTTTTAATTGATTTTTTTAACTTTGTCCTGTTCAGAATCATGCCAGCAGAACTCGGGCACCTCAGGGTCAGCAACACCCCGCACCGCCGCCGATCTGGGACCAGCAGAAGCCCCCGGGACTCAGGCAGCCCCTAGACAACAGGTGCGCAAGGAGACCCCTCCCCTCCTCTCTCCGGCTCCATGATGGAAGTGAGTTGAGTACAACTTTCTCCCTGATGGGCAGAGGTCCTCCATGTCTACTAATTATATAAAACAGCCGGGTGGGCAGCATTGCAAAACCCTAGACCAAGGTCGCTCGAGCAGTCTCATCCACCTGAAGGTCCCCGCTCGCCCGACCCCACTCAGCACACCCAACCCCCTGGCCCAAATGTGTATATATGTGTAGGTAAATGGGTAGTAGTGTCCAAATTGCTGATAAAACACGGGGGTGGGGGCACTGCAGAGTGCAGAGAGGAGGACCACCTAGGTGGTACCCTTAGCTGCTCTCAGCAAATCCCCTATGGTCCCTGAAACCCTCCGTCTGTGAGTATGTTCTGTGTTCTGGAGCCAAAGGGGAGAGGGGTAAAGGGATGCAAGCGGGAGGGATGTAATCCCCCCGGAGAGGACGTCATGCTATGAGGAGACATCCCCCGGGACTCAGACCCCAGGGCCCTGGCCCCAGACCCCAACCCATGCCCAGTCGCGAGCCAGAGCCATTGCAACAGGGCCCCCAAGGTACCCCCCCCCCCAGGCGCTCAAACCCACCAACCCAGTCAGACACCAGCTTTGCAGTTAATAAGAATGGTTTTCTTTCTATGCATAGTACCCTGAGGACCATGTGAGCTGACTTCCTTTCTATTGTGATGTCATTTAGATCACCAAGTATGCACAGTGTGGGGCGTGCAGGAATACTACTCTTCAACCATATTGACAGGTCGTTGCAGACGTCCAACCAGAACTTATGAAGTGCACAGAACCATACAGCAAGTGCATAATCATCTGTTGTATTGCCTGTGCTATTTGTGCAGATATTTTGCCCTGTAGTATGAGTTCTATGGAATATTTTGTATTGTATAAGCTGTAAATTAGGATTTGTAGTCATACTAAATATTTTTGGCCAAGAGTTACCATCAGTTGTGAAGGCTAGATCTGCTTCCAACTTTGAAGAATGAAGACTAATTGTGTCATCAGACTTTGATAATAACTTATAGATTTTTGACAGTGTTTTTAGGGAGCAAATGTATCCATTTTGAATTATATGTTTTAGATGTCTTATTCTTTTGTTCTTCCATTGAGTAAAATGTAGCATTTTCTAGTTTTGGAGGGTGTCGGGATTGTTCCAAATGGATGTACATTAAAGGAGCCGTTCTAAGTTGGTTTAGGTCCTATTTATCAGATCGGTTTCAGTTTGTGCATGTTAACGATGAGTCCTCCATGCATGCCAGAGTTAGCCACGGAGTTCCGCAAGGATCCGTTCTCGGACCAATCCTCTTTACTTTATATATGCTTCCTTTAGGTAATATTATCAGGAAACACTCTATCAACTTTCATTGCTATGCAGATGATACTCAGTTATACCTATCGATCAAGCCAGATGAAACTCATCAGCTAGCTAAGCTTCAAATGTGCCTTCAGGATGTTAAAACCTGGATGACCTGCAATTTTCTAATGTTAAACTCAGCTAAAACTGAAGTTATTGTTCTAGGGCCTAAACACCTTCGTGACGCATTATCTAGAGATATAGTTTCCCTGGATGGCATCGCCCTGGCCTCCAGCACCACTGTGAGAAATCTTGGAGTTATCTTCGATCAAGACATGTCGTTTAACTCTCACATTAAGCAAATTTCAAGAACCGCCTTCTTTCACCTTCGTAATATTGCAAAAATTAGGAGCATCCTGTGTAAAAATGATGCAGAAAAACTAGTCCATGCATTTGTTACTTCTAGGCTGGATTACTGCAATTCCTTGTTATCAGGGTCTTCAAAAAAGTCCATTAGGACTCTTCAGCTGATCCAGAATGCTGCAGCACGTGTTCTTACAGGAACCAGAAAAAGAGATCATATTTCTCCTGTCTTGGCTTCTTTGCACTGGCTTCCTGTTAAATCCAGAATAGAATTTAAAATCCTTCTCCTTACGTATAAAGCTCTTCATGGTCAGGCCCCATCCTATCTTAAAGAGCTTTTAGTACCTTACTGCCCTACCAGAGAACTGCGCTCCCAGAATGAAGGGTTACTGGCAGTTCCTAGAGTCTTGAAAACTAGAATGGGCGCTAGAGCGTTCGGCTATCAGAGTCCTCTTTTGTGGAACCAGGTTCCAGTTTGGGTCTGGGAAGCAGACACCGTCTCTATATTTAAGAGTAGGCTTAAGACTTTCCTTTATGATAGAGCTTATAGTTAGAGTAAGTCCACCCCTGGTTGTGCTGCTATAGGCCTAGACTGCCGGGGGATGCATCATGATGCACGAGCTCCCCTTTCCTTTCTCTCTCTCCCTCCCGGTGCAACCTCATTCCATTAACAATGTTACTAACTGGACTCTCTCCCTTCCCCGTAGTCGTGTGCTTTCTCGTCCCCCTTCTCTCTTCTCTCTCTTCCTATCACTTTCTGCAGATATTCCTGGCTCTGGAGCTGTGGGGTCTGGATCTGTGGTTGGGAGTCTCCTCCTATCACTTCCTGCAGGTGTTCCTAGAGCTGTGGAGTCTGGATCTGTAGTTGGGAGTTTCCTGCTGCCCCCGTGTTCCTGCTCATCATTAGCATTAATATCATTGCCATTTTTAATCTATTCTACGTGTTGCTGTGTTGGCTGCTTCTCTCTGCTCCCTCTGTCCTTCTCTCTCTCTCTCTTGCTCTCTCTTTCCCCTCACCCCCAACCGGCCGAGGCAGATGGCCGCCCACCCTGAGCCATGGTTCTGCTCAAGGTTTCTGCCTGTTAAAAGGAAGTTTTTCCTTGCCTGTGTCGCCTAGTGCTTGCTCACGGTGGGAATTGTTGGGTTTCTGTAGTTAACTTAAGAGTAGGGTCTGACCTGCTCTGTTTGGAAAGCGCTGTGAGACAACTGTTGTTGTGATGTGGCGCTATATAAATAAAATTGAATTGAATTGAATTGAAAAGGTGGGAGTTAAAGCTCCGCCTAACAGGGGACTCCGCCAGGCGCTCCCAGCAGACCCTCACAATGCGTTTGGGCCTCCCAGGTCTCACCGGCATCCTCCCCCACCATCGGAGCCAACTCACCACCAGGTAGTGGTCAGTGGAAAGCTCCGCCCCCCTCTTGACCCGAGTGTCCAAAACATGCGGCCGCAGATCAGCTGAAACGACAACGAAGTCGATCATTGAACTGCGGCCTAGAGTGTCCTGGTGCAAGGTGCATATATGGACACTCTTATGTTTGAACATGGTGTTTGTTATGGACAATCCGTGCCGAGCACAGAAGTCCAAAAACAGAACACCACTCGGGTTCAAGCTGGGGGGGCCATTCCTCCCAACCACGCCCCTCCAGGTCTCACTTTCGTTGCCCACGTGAGCGTTGAAGTCCCCCAGCAAAACGAGGGAGTCCCCAGAGGGGGCACCCTCCAGTACCCCCTCTAAGGACTCCAAAAAGGGTGGGTACTCTGTACTGCCGCTGGGCGCATAGGCACAAACGACAGTCAGGACCCGTCCCCCCACCCGAAGGCGAAGGGATGCTACCCTCTCGCTCACTGGGGTAAACCCCAACGTACAGGCACCGAGATGGGGGGCAATGAGTATGCCGGGGGCAACTCCAGAGTAGCAGAGCTTCCAACCCCTCTCAAGAAGGCTGGTTCCAGAGCCAGAGCTGTGTGTCGAGGCGAGACCGACGATGTCCAGCCGGAATCTCTCCGCCTCGCACACTAACTCAGGCTCCTTCCCCGCCAGAGAGGTGACGTTCCACGTCCCTAGAGCCAGCTTCTGCAGCCGGGGATCAGTCCGCCAAGGTCCCCCGACTCCGGCCGCCGCCCAGGGCACACTGCATCCGACCCCTATGGCCCCTCCCTAGGGTGGTGGGCCCGTGCGAAGGGGGACCCATGTAACCTCTTTGGGCTGGGCCCGGCCGGGCCCCATGGGTGAAGGCCCGGCCACCAAGCACTCGCCATGGTGCCCCGCCCCTGGGCCTGGCTCCAGGGGGGGGCCCCGGTGACCCGCGCTCGGGCAAGGGTACACTAAGTCCATTGTTGTTTCTCTTCATAAAGGGTATTCTGGGCTGCGCTTCGTCTGATCCCTCACCTAGGACCTGTTTGCCTTGGGTGACCCTACCAGGGGCTTGAAGCCCCGGACAACATAGCTCCTAGGATCACTGGGACACTCAAACCCCTCCACCACGATAAGGTGGCAACCCAGGGAGAGGTCTTTACGCAATGATGTATTAAATCTCCAGTTCCTACTTGCTGGTGCACTTCTTTTAATCTAATCTCAGGTTTTTGCACTCATTGAATATGTCAGGCCGGCCGAACTCAGTGAGGACTCAGTCGTGGAACTTGTCAAAAAATCCAAAGTTTATTAACAAAAAACACACTCAAAGGAGTGGACACAAAGAATAACACAAAACGCTCCAATACGGAGGGGCAAAGTAGTAACTCAAAAGCGCTCGGACACGAGGCTGCGAAAAGTAACAAATCAAAATCACTCACGAAGGAGGAAAAGGCTGAGAAACAAATAAGCAAAAGAATACTCACTAGGAATGGGCTTCTAGGAGGAAAACACAAAGGGGCACTCAATGGAGACAAAAACTCAGGAGGCTCTATGGCAGGGAACAGGATCAAAAGGCAAGGCAAGTTTTTCTGTGGCAAGGGACGCAACACACTGGCACAGGACAGGGGAGATGAGGACTATTTGAACACATGAGGGAAGGGAACCCCAGGTGCACACAATAGGTAATCAGGGAGACGATCGGACTGGTGACACAACAGGAAGTGCAAGTGACCTGAAATGAGATGAGAGTTATTCTTCAAAATAAAACAGGAAATGAAGAGACTACAATAAGAGGAGACAAAAACCCTCAGCCAGGAACACCACCGTGACAGAATATATATATTGTGATCTTTGAATAACATTATTCAGGAAAACAAAAGTGCACTTGTCAGCATGTTGGCTCCTTACCAAGGGTGGTAGATATAATGTTAGTTATCACAGTATAGATAAGTGGAGTTAGTATTAGTACAGTATAGATACAGTATATATGACACTGTTTGTGGATGTCATTTAAGGCAATCTTGAAGTTGATAGAAATGGAAGAAAAATAAAAAAATGTTTATGGAAATTAACTTTCAACTTTGTTCTTATCTTGATTGATTATGTTTAACTGTAATTCAGATTTTTTTAGGACATTGGAACCTGTTTTTTATTCCTGTATGGATATTTGAGCTACTTAGATTGCTGAAGTAACACTTGCTTGGTTTTAACAAGTAAGATTGCTGTTCAAGTAAATATAACTTAGAAATGCTAAGTTAATACAATCTAGATGTGTTTTATATGGGGTAAACAAAGAGTAAATTTAACGTGCAATAGTTTAGAAGAAGTGTGCGTGGTTGTTCATCCTTGTGTGTCTCTGTCTAGCCGCCATTAGGGAATAAGTGATTGCAAAAAAGGATGGATGGATGATTAAATAGATTAAAATAGTAATTTTGAGCAGTAATTATTAAGTCAGGGGAATATCTAAAGTAAACTATCAAGAACACTCTATTTGAATGTCTTAGTTGCTTCAACTCATCTTTAAGTATACTCCACATCGGAAGCACTAGTTAGTGCAATTTAAAATACGTGGTTCTCTTTACTTGTTTTTTTAAGTGAAACCGGTGTGCATGCTTTTTAAAGTAATGATAACTTGGATTTTACAGTGTGTGATGTCTTTGTTTTTTCTTATATTAGTCATTACATTTGATTTCATTATTGTTTTTTGAGCATGTAAATTGGTTCAAGACGGTGAACCATTCACACTGAAATGTTTGATATTGGCCACAATATGAAAATAAATGTGAAAAGGCGAAAAATACAAATTTCTGTTCAGCAGTATAGCCTGCAGTCTGAACATAGTAGCAGGTACTTCAAGGGTATTTCACTTAAAGTAATTGGCAGCTGTACTGTTTATGTGTGCCAAAGCCAGTTTAGTTTAGATGCTAAGACTATATATCTATAAAGCAATACCAAAAATCTGTATTCCATTGCTATCAAATATATTATAGTGAGTACAACTGTTTGCAATTAAAGTCTGAATTCAACAAGAAAAATCAAGCTTTACAAAAACTATAAAAAATGTAAATTTTGATAATCTTCTTTTCCTGTCATTACTACTTTCATGAAGTTATTGGAAATACAGATTTATCCTGGATTGGTAGCACCTTTTTACTTTCCATGAGCTTTAACGTGGCCATGGCAACATTTCAATTTTATATTGATTTTACCATTTCGAGATCTTGTTATGCCTTATTATGGTCAGAGTAAAATGTCTTTCTCCAGTCACTGGACTGAATTTTCAGTTAAGAGCCACACAGGCTCCATTAAGAGCAGGCCTCAACCTATTTGGACCCCCGATGAAACACCCTAATGGCACCATTAGAGCAGCTAGATTAGTCGGATGCAGGTCAGCTCACATGCACTCACAGTAAGCTCCTTGTTCATGTTCTGAACACAATTAAACAGAAAGAGAAAAGGAAAATGTGAAGTAACTGTGAATTCAGAGAAAGTGTTGACAGATATTCAGAAAAAATATACATCTGCTGGCAATGATGGATATTCCCTCATGTGGCTTGCACAAGTGAACCTGGCACAGGCACAATAACAAGAACAGGTATTTATATCAATTCAGACTGTGGTAATCCAATGGTTAGAGTAGAGACATTATCAAGAACTGCAGGGGAAAAAAACATAATTAAATACACGAGACAGGCCTTGGGACCTAATTTAACAGAGGATAGTGATTCTGTAAACCTCTGCTGCTCTCCGAGAACTCGAAGAGTCAGAAAAGACTCACTAAAGACAAAAAGCCTAACCTGCTTTAAATCTCTTTGTGTTTCCAGGAATTGCCTCTGATTCATGTCATTTAAATGACTGTATGATTCAAATATGAATCATACAGTGTAGAAAATGAAAAAAATAAATCAGTAAATCATATTTTTAAATAACTACCATTTTTGTCACAGTAGTTGACAACTGTGTATTTCCTGAGCCTGCTTTTGGACAAGTGCTACAGTCTGGGGTTATTGCTGGATACATAAAGTGTTGTGTGAACTTCATTTAAAGTAGACAATGTCATGTTTGTTTGGATCTTCCGAACCCACATGCAAAGATCACTCTCAGGAGAACCGTTCAAGGCTTTATTGGCAATAACCAGTAGTAGCACGGCACAGGGGGGCTTGGTCTGGGAGGGGGGTCCAGTGGCTGGAAGGGCGCGCTCGGTGGGCACGGCGCACAGGACGGCACAGGCAGGAACGAATACTCTGGATCTTCCGTAAAGGTAGGAGAGCTCTAGAGAAAAAAAAAGGAAAGACGGGCTGGGTAAATAAGCACAACAAACTCGAAATCCACTTAGCTCTGGAACCAGATATACCGAAAGGCGACGACACTCTGGCGGCGAGGTGCCGGGGATCCGCTCCTCTTATGCGCTCGCCGATTACCCGCAGGTGCGCTAAAACGCACCTGTGGGAAGAGCGTGTGACAACGCCCATAGAGTCGAGGACACCACCTAGGAGGAAATCGGAGGCATAGTCGCACCTGCCGATCCTGACAGACAAGCAGTTTGCAAATTTCCACCTTTAATTGTTTAGCAAGGTGGCTGGATCTTCTTCAAAGGATTACTCAGTGATCACTGGAGAATCTGTCTTGTCAGACTTCTAGAAGTTCTTAGATGCATCTATATCAATTATATAAGAACTGAAGGGCCTGTCTTAATTGAAATAAGAGCCATGAAAAGCACTAAAGACTGTTACTTAGCTTCCCCCCTGCCTGCTGAAAGAAAGAGTTTAATTTGCCAGACCCTTTGTGCTGCTAATCTGATTAGTTTAAGTAAAGAAAGTGCTAATAAGAATGTAGGTTGTCCGGTCACCCACTTAATCATTGTTTTTCTTTAACATGTTTATAATCACAAACTGATTATAAATGTTTCTAAGTAATGTCACTGTTATGGAATAAGTGAGGACTGGACCCAAAAGCAGACACAGAACTGCGGGGTGAAGGAATAACAGGTGATTTATTGCTTAGGAGGGAGGGTGAAGGTACCAGGGAGCCGGTGAAGGTATGCCAGGTCCAGGTGCCAGAGTTCCAATGGGGGAATGAAGTTTCCTAGGGGAAAAAGGCTTGAAGGGGGGCTGAAGATAAATCCAATAGGAGTGCAGAACAGACAGGACAAAACCCCACAGGTCGCAGGACAGGCAACGAATGAAGAGGCAAATTGGAGAGGGCTGGCATATAAAAGGTGCTGATTACCAACGGGCTGCAGGTGTGTTACTGAGCAGGCTTCCACCCTGAGCCTGCCCAGCTTGAAGCAATCAGCAGAACCAAAAGAGTACGATCATCACAGTCACCTTTTAAAAATTACAGCATCTTTACAGGAGAGCTCCATAAAGCCTTTCAACATATGCCTACTAATAAAGCCCTACAAAGAATTTTGGACCGGTTTGGATCCTACATTTATTAAAATAGTATTACAAGTCAAGGGAAATAGTAATTTATCCCCAGTCATGAACTCTGCTAATATTATATATATATATAAACTGCAGAAACCAGGGAAAAAAAGCGGAGGAGATGGCGTCCTCAGTGGTGCGGTTCCGCTAAAAGCAAACTGGAACGCGTTGAATGTTGGGGGGAGACTGGAGACGAAGTGGTCTTTTACCAGCCTTTTAAAACACTTCATCATGATGGGAATCAGTGCAACAGGCCGGTAGTCGTTAAAACAGGTCACTTGAGGTGATGGAAGCAGACTTAAAGCACGCTGGCACTGTGGCTTGGTCCAGCGAGGTGTTAAAAATATCTGTGAGGATACCAGCTAGCTGACCTGCACACTCCTTGAGAACCCGCCCAGGTATGTTTTCGGGGCCTTTCATGGGTTGACTCTCCTCAGATTCTTCCACACGTTGGCTGTGTCAAGGCAGAGTACCTCATCATAGTGATGGGGAACAACCTTCACTGTTGGAGTGCTGTTTAGTGCCTCAAACCTCCCAAAGAAGTTATTTAGTCCATTGAGGAAGTCAGCATAAACTTCACCCACCGGGGGGGAGGGTGTGTTGTATTCAGTGATCGCCCGTATGCCTTGCCACATGCTCCTGGTGTTGCTGGCGTCATTGAAAATATCCTGGATTTTCTGACTATGGGTCCGCTTCGCTAACTTGAAGGCACGGTTCAAGTTGTCCTCAGTGCCTCCTTGTCACCCGACTTGAAGGCTGAGTTCCATGCTTTAAGTGCTTGGCGAACCTCCTCAGTCATCCAGGGTCGTTTGTTGGCTCGGGTGATGATGTTCTTTGTGGTGCTGACATCTTCGATGCATTTGTCATAGCATACTCATAAATGTTTATCTTGTTGTCATATGCTGCAGCTTTGAACATGCCCCAGTCTGAGCACTCAAAACAGTCCTGGAGTGTCTCCATGGCCCCCTCAGTCTACACCCTTGCATGCCTCACTGTAGGTTTAGCTCTGATCAGCAGGGACCTGTATGCAGGAATTAGCATTACAGAGAGGTGGTCTGAAGAGCCGAGGTGGGAGCGGGGGGCTGCCCTGAATGCGTCTTTTATATTTGTGTAAACTAAGTGTCTTTCCCCGAGTTGCAAAATCCACATGTTAGTAGAAATGACGGAGAACAGTTTTCATATTTGCCGGGTTAAAGTCCCCAGCAATGATGAAAACACCCTTCATGTGAGCAGATTGCTGCTCGGAGATAGTCTGATAGAGAAGACTCATAGCCTCTTTTGTATTAGCGCTGGGAGGCACATAAACAGCAGAGATGCCAACAACAGTAAACTCTCTAGGCATGTAGAAAGGTCTGCATTTAACAGTCAAAAGCTCTATGTCCGGAGAGCAGTGGCTGGTGACTGATTTTATACCAGTTGTTATTGATGTAAAAACACAGCCCGCCCCCTCTGGACTTGCAGCCAAGACAGCTGTTTCTATCAGCGCGGAAATTAGCAAACCCCTCCAGGCTAACGGCATTGTCCGGAATCGATGAGATAAGCCATGAGTCCATCAAGATGAGAACGCAACAGTTTCTTAGCTCCCTCTTTGAAGAGAGCTCAAGTTGTAAATGGTCAATTTGGTTAACCAGTGAGCGGACGTTGGAGAGCAGGATGGTGGAAGCTGCATTCTGTATATTGAGAGTGTGCATATTTTTCTTAAAAAATATAAGAACAATAATAAAAATAAAAATGATAATTAAGTGGAGGGGCCGTGGTGCTCAGCTGCAGGAGGGGAGGTGTGGAGAAGGCTCAGGAGAGCAGTGCCAGGGGAGGTGATTAGCACACCTGGAAGTAGTTGGCTAATCACTCTCCCCTTATAAAAAGAGATCCTGACTGACCAAGGCACTGAATTTATGTCACGGACACTGAGAGAGCTGTACAGATTGTTGGACATCAAGTCGATTCGGACCAGTTTGTACCGCCCTCAAACTGACGGCCTCGTGGAGCACCTGAATAAGACTTTGAAGTCCATGATCCGTAAGTTTGTGCACAATGATAACCATAATTGGGACAAATGGATGAACCCTCTGTTGTTTGCAGTGCGGGAGGTACCCCAGGCCTCCACGGGATTTTCTCCCTTTGAGCTATTGTTTGGCAGGAAACCACGTGGGGTGTTGGACCTGGTTAAAGAAAGCTGGGAGGAAGGTCCAAGCCCCAGTAAAAACGAAGTTCAGTACGTCCTGGACCTGAGAGCAAAAATCCACACACTTGGGCGGTTATCACGAAATAATTTGCTCCAGGCCCAGGAACGTCAACAGCGGCTGTACAACAGAGTATCCAGGTTAATACAATTCTCACCGATAAAGTACTTGTAGAAGAAGAAGATTTGATTTTTAAAAAACCTTTATTGACCTTTTTTTTTCTCTCACTCTACAATTCAAGGTGAGATCTTCATTTTACCCTGAAATATAAAGAACAACAGATTAATTACCCTATAAAACTCAAGATTAAATCCCCATCCCCCCCAACAGAACACAAAACGCCAGCGACAGCCCACAGCTGACTGAAAGCCTCTAAATTATTAGTTAAATTAAAAAAAGAAAACTCTGTTTTTAACCTGGCCTTCAACATTCCCTCCAGGACCTTAACCGGATCCAGAATGCCTGCACCCTGTTCCTGTGCGTAATCCAAACCGCTAATTTGGCCGAACCAGAAATAAAATTAATTAGCCGGTTAACTTCCTTGCTTTTAGCGGAGTATTTTGGCCCAAACACAAAAATTTCAAAGGAGAAGGCCTCTCCAAAGCCCTGAAACCACCTCTTCAGCAGTTGGAACAGCGGAGCCAACCGGGGACATCGAACAAACAGGTGGACAACGGTCTCCGTCTGGGAACAGAACAGGCATTCCTCCCCCACCCCAGGATCCAGGTGCGCCTTGTATCTGTTCGTGGCTATCGCCCCGTGCACAATTCTCCACTGGAGGTCTGCTGCCCGCTTTTCAATGGGCAGCTTGTACAGGGACCTCCAGCTGCCTTTAGGGGAAATGCCTGGCCCAAGAAACTCGGCCCACTTCGACTCCCGCACCGTTGCCAGCCAGCGCAAGTTCAGGACCTTGACGCACCCCTGATACAATGTCCTTCTTCCTGCCCCCTGAAAAGTGTCCATTTGTGGGAGGGAGAGGGAAAGTAGCTTACCCCCCCTTCCTGCCAGTCCTCCACGGCGGGGGTGATGGACAGAGCCGGGAAACTATATTCATGTCCCGGACTCCACTGCTCCCTCAGAGTAGGGTCTGTTATGAAGGCTCTCTGGGCCGGTGTCAGGGCAGCACACACCTCCTCCACCACACTGTTGATCAGCCTCCTGCATATTGTGCTGCTTCTCTCCCTCAGGGCGTCCACAGAGGTGGCCCAGTTTGGTGCATCCAGACTGAAGCGTCTTTGTCTCTATTCGGCTGTTAAAAAACAGCGGCTCCTCGAACAGCCACATGCCAGGAGGTTCGTCTTCTACTCGTTCAGCTCTGAGAACCTTCCAGGCCTGCAGCACTGAACTGTAGAATGGAGTCAGTTCATCCAGGTCCATGTTCTCACCTCTCAGGAGGAATAGCTGCCTGTCGTACTCCAGTCGCCCGGCCTTCCTCAGCAGCGCCCGAGCCGTTTCAAGCCAGGCTGGGCCGCAGTCGTACAGCAGCTTCTGTGCCGTCTGCAGCCGGAAAGAGGCTATTCTTGATTGAATATGGACCAGTCCTTGTCCCCCTTCCGCTACAGGCAGGTATAGCGCTGCTGCTCTAATCCAGTGTTTTCTTGACCAGAAAAAGTCCACTATGGTCCTCTGTATGTCCTCCACCAGGTCCCTGGGTGTCAGGACAACCATCCTGCGAAGCAACCATCCTGCGAAGCGACCAAGTTGTTGGCAACCAGAACCCTCCCCCTGTACGACAGCTGGGGTAGCAACCATTTCCATCTAGACAACCTGGCGCACACTTTCTCCTTAATGCCCTCCCAGTTCTTTAGTTGGAACCGTTCTGTCCCCAAAAAGACCCCTAGCACCTTCAGGCCCTCTTTACCCCATGTCAGTCCTCCCGGCAGTCTGGGAACCACTCGCTGGCTCCACTGTCCCACCAGCAGGGTATCGCTCTTTGCCCAATTCACCCGTGCAGATGAGGCTCTTTCGTACAGGGACAGGGTGTCCTGCAGGCACTGAACGTCCCCCTGGTGTCCGACAACAACTGTGATATCGTCTGCGTAAGCAGAGACAGCAGGAGGATGTTGAGCGCCCGGGGACCCGGCCAGCGTAAGGTCAGTGAGCCGACCTCTCAACCTGCACAGCAGGGGCTCGACAGCCAGGCTGAATAACTGTCCCGAGATTGGGCAACCCTGTCTTATCCCCCGCCGCACAGAGATCGGCCGGCTCAGCCCCGTCCCCATCTTCACCATGCATTGTGCCCCTGTGTACAACAAACCAATCCATGCAACAAACCCATCACCAAAACCAAACGCCCTAAGTTCCAAAAACAATAGTGATCCACCCTGTCAAAGGCCTTCCCCTGGTCAAGAGCAACAATTCCACAGTCCAGGTCATAAGCCTGGCATATATTTACAACATCTCGTACCAAGGAAAGTTGTCCATTATGGTTCTATCCGGAACACGATAAGTCTGGTCAGAGTGAACTATATTTTCTATATAGACTTTCATCCTGTTTGACAGCGTTCTTGAAAGAATCTTATAATCCGCACACAGCAGTGCAACCGGCCTCCAGTTCTTCAACATCGCCAGGTCCCCTTTCTTAGGGAGCTGAGAGAGAACTGCTCTCTGGCAGGAGACAGGAAGACATCCGGTCTTGTAGCACTCCAGGAACACGCCATGCAGGTCCACTCCAATTATACTCCAAAACTTCTTTAAAAAAATCTGCGGTTAATCCATCAATCCCTGGTGCCCGTCCCGATGCCATCTGGTTCACCGCAGTCGTCAGCTCCTCAAGCGTCAGCTCAGCCTCCAGCGCAGCCTTCTCCTCCTGGTTCAGCTGAGGAAGTCCTTCCAGAAGTTCCCTTTGGCACAACTCCGCGCCAAAGAGGTCTGAATAAAACTCCAGGGCATGGGTCCTCATTTCTCCTGGGTTGGTGGTGGTGACTCTCCCCTCTGGCAATCTGAGGCAGGTCATCACCTTCCTCTGAGCCACCGACCTCTCCAGGTTAAAAAAGAAAGAGCTTGGGGCATCCATGTCTTTCAGCTGCATAAACCTTGCTCTCACCAGAGCTCCCTTCACCCTTTCTTGCAGGAATGAGCTCAACTCCTGCCTCTTTTCACCAAGCCTCCTCCCCACAGAGGGTTCAGAGTCTCTACCCAAAGCCCCCTCTAGGCCTTTAATGGTATTCTCCAGCTGCTGAACCTGTGCCTTAATTCCATTGGTGCTGTGAGCCGTGTATTGCTGACAGAAAATATGAATTTAAGTTTTTCCAACCTCCCACCACAAGTTCAGAGAGGCAAAATCAGCTTTCTGATTTCCCCATTGCTGCCAGAAGAGCACAAACTTCTGGCAGAAGGTGTTATCTTGAAGCAATTTGTTTGATTCTCCATTTGTTCTGTTCTTTTAAAAGTCTAATGTACAGTTGAAGTCCCCCCTACAATAAGCTGATACTGCTGTGAAGTTGTAAGCTCATTTGCGAGCAGGGTGAAGAATTCTACCCTCTATTGGCCTTGGTTTGGGGCATATACATTGACCAGAGAGTAGACAGAGCCCTCTATCTTTACCCTAACCATCACTGCTCGGCCTTGTACCAACTCACTGGAGGACAGAACCCGTACGTTAGTCCCTTCCTTAATCAGGATGGCTACGCCCGCACTTTGGGTGGAGCCATGGCCCCTCCACCATAAGCCCCAGTAAACCTCATCAGCCGGGCTGGTGTGGGTCTCCTGCAGGAACAGGACGTCTATCCTGTTCCTGGAACAGACCTCAGTCACCAGAGCCCTCTTTTTCCTGTCCCGCCCACCGTTAATATTCAAAGACCCGATAGTGAGGCTCTGCATGGTAAGGTCAGATAGTGGTGTCAGAACAGTTGAAAACAATATAAACCCAACAAGGGAAAAATACACCGTGTGATACATTATCATTTTCTTTTCTTGCTCTTTTGATCGTTCTTCCTTTCTTAACCTTTCTTAGTGCAGTCAATTGCTTTTTAAAGCGGGATCGTTTCTTTTCATCCAGTTGATCAAAACCCACCTGCTTGAGCAGCATCCCCACAGAGCGAATTATTTTTTCTGTATCTGGGAAGTATTCACCAATGTGGGCTGATTTTTTATACGTTTCATCCGGATACTTATTAATCTCCTCCAGAGTATATATATCTTGACTCCTTAAAGACATTTCACTTGATGACTGCACATCAGATTCAGATTCAAAATCCAGTTCTTCAGCCTCAGCTGACATCTGACTGTTCTGGGCCTCCTCATCCCTGAACAGGGAGGGATGTTCCCCTGCAGCCCCGCAGGAAGCCGGCTGCTCTTCCTCCACCACAGACTGGGACTGGACCTCAGTCGGACCCTCCACAACATTTCCTCCCCGTTTCAAATCAGTTTTTTCCCAGTTGGTTAATGTTTTTAACCTCAGTAGTAGTGGGATCAGTGATAGCACCAGCGGGGACATCAGAGGACACCCCAGTGGCCACAGCCGCTCCCCCCGGAGCCGGAGCCCCGACCGGAACCGGAGCCGGAGCCGCCACCTCCCCATCGGGATTAGTCGCACTCTGTCTGTGTGGACAGGCATGACGTTTGTGTCCCACATCTCCACATTCAAAACACTTTAGCTGGCCAGAGGTGGCATACACCATATATGCTCCATCCCCGTGCTGCACCCTGAAGGAGACCTCTAAGTTTTGATCAGGTGAATCTAGAAACATAAAGACCTGCCGCCGAAGTGACTGCACATGTTTCAGTCTGGGGTTTTACACCAGACTTGGCGCCTCTCACACTCTCAACTCCAACGTTTGCAGCAGGGGGCCACTGTCTTCCTCAAATTCCGGACTCAGGAACACGTCTGGGAACGGGTCTTTCGGGTCGGGCAGGCACTCTTTTGTGGCGTGTAGGTTCAGGAGCCGCCTCTCCCCAGCCGTCATTCTCTCCTTTACCCGCTCCAGGAAGCGCCGTACCAGCCTGGCGGACCGGACCCCAAGCTGCAAGCCGATCTCCTGGACGTAAGAAAAGTCAGGTCCAGCCACCTCCACCAGCCGCCGCAGGGTCACCATCCCGGACTTGGACAGCACCTCGGAAAGGCCTGGCACGGCGCTGTCACGGACGTCCAGTCTCGCTCCACAGACCAACGGTTCTTCTAAAAGCCAATGCAAAGAATTATGCGTTTTTGATCTTTGCAGTGTAAAAAAAGCACAAGATCTAAAAAACACTCTGGTAAAACTGAGGCAACCCCTTTAACTTTTGTAGTGGTAAAGTTGTTGTTTCAATTTTTGTTTCTAATTTTACCATTTCTTTGTTTGTTTTCCTCAACAACCTTTCCCACCTTGGGTGTCCAATACTGTGGTCTGACGCGTGAAATTAAGTCCAGGACATGGTTATTGTGTGTCTTTTGATGGTTTATTGTAACAAATTAAACTTGAGTATAACAAAAGATCAGTCCAAGTTTGAAGTGCTAAATCACGGTCAATGACTGTCTCAGCTTGTATCAGACCCAGCTGCTGTCCCGCATCACAGCCTTTTATAGGTGCAGTTCCCGCCTTCACCTATAGATGGAAACATGGAAACAAACTGGCATAGAAATTAAGATATGTAGAATTTAAGAAAGTATGTTGTCAAATAACTAAAATAAACAAATGGCTCTTACAACTTTAAAAGACTCAAGTCAGTTAAAAACAGAGCAGCATCCAACCCCAGAAAGTTAACACGTCTGAGAATGCAGCTGGCCACATCCCTTTACACCGGAGATCCTGTCAGGAACTTTTGAAGAAACTGTAATCTAAAAAGTAACTGTTCTACTGGCCAGGTGGACAAGGCCCTGACCCCCTCCTCTCTCGGTAAAAACAAAACAGACTGTGGCACCCAGTGTAGACCGTTCCAAAATAAATTGACCATCTCTGACTGAATCTTTACAAGCAAAACAGATGGTGGGTCTAAAACAGAGAGCTTGTGCCACAGCTGTGAAGCGACAAGGTTATTTAAAACCAAAATCCTGCCCCGGTAAGACATTTGCGGGTGCAGCCACTTCCATTTTGACAATTTGTTTTTTATTTTTTGTTCAATGTCTTCCCAGTTCTTATCCACAATATGTTGACTGCCTAAAAACACACCAAGATATTTAAAACCATCCTTCTTCCATAAAAGACCCTGAGGGAGATCTGGGAGCCAAGCAGACCACTCGCCCACGGCCAGGGCTTCGCTCTTTCCCCAGTTCACCCTCGCAGCGGATAGAGTAGAAATTTTTTCTGTGATCTTGGTTAAAACGGTGACATCTTGTTGGTCTCTAATAAAAACAACATCATCAG